TGTGATGACATCATCGTTTCACAAAATATACGGATTGGCTACACAAAACCGCAAGGGTGTCGTTTTCAGATTTATCCACTTTGGGACCCTGTTTCAAAAAGTAGCGGTTTCACTCTCCCAAAATTCCGGATCCGTGTGGACGAAACGCCAATACGATAAAAAATGTATATGTATACAGCGAATCGCGTCTTCCTGTGTATGGGCCCTTAGATAGAAGCCTGGTCTTGTTAGTCCAAAATAGCTGCCCGGAGGCATTGCCAAGATGGCTGCTGAGTGGCATGACTTGCCTAAAAGAACTATGGCCCGGCTCACATGCCCATTCGATCCTGCTAAGTTTGTATAAAATGCCACTCGACTGTCAACAAATGATCACAAAAGGCATTTTGAAACCCTCTATTGCCAAATACAGACATGTTTCTAACCTCACACGCATCAAAGATATCCACTGATGATAAAAAGTTGTAGCGCGAGGGAAGTTGCTCCTGAAAAGAATAACGGCTCACTAGTGACGCAAGCAGCAAAGTGTTGAGAGTCGATTGGACACTGTTGCGCTTTGTTTGTTTTTTAAAACACATTTAACACAAGATGACATAGAACGTGTTAAAATACCGGTGTTAAAAATTATTGTGTTAAGATTAAACATATTGTTTTATACCTGTTGAAGAGACTCCTTTATTAGAGATAAAGCTGTTTGTGGGTCAAAACCATGGTCAAAAATGAAATTTCATTTCACAGGTTACTGTGCCATCATCCAATCAGCATTTTCCTGCGGTTTTAGAGCAGAAAAAAAAGATCCTTCCTGCCTAAAAAGTATTAATAGGCCTACTGCGAACTAGCAAATAATCCCTGCATTTAAAAGACACTTAACATTTTTATGATTAAGACTACAAGACAAAACGTAGGAATGCTAAAAGAAAGCTCTGTCCAGAGAGTTTTCAGTGATGCCCGAAGAACCATTCTTGTTCCCCTATAGAAACTGTCAGTGATGCGTTCTTAAAATAACATATTTTTTTTCCTTAGAGTAAAGAACATTTTAAAAACATAAACAACCATTTTAACTTAAAATAACTTTCTGTGCAGGAAAGGTTCAAAGGATTTTAAAGGTTCTTCAAGGAACCATATCGTGCTTGTGAACAATGTGCTTGTGTACTTTTGTCTATCTCTGAGTCACAGCAAGAGCAAAGGAGGCCCGTGCCATAAACGTGCCCTTGCCTACTCATACGACTCCTTCGGCACGCACTCCTGGCCAAACTAAACACCCTGTTATCCTCAGCCAACACGTGTCAGTCGCCTCACCTGTAGATCAGCACTTACATCCGACAAGTAAAAAAAAAAAAAAAAAAAAAAACGCCACTTTGTCCCTCTCTGTCCCTTCCCCTTAAGGAGCGGTGCGTGAGTCAGATTAAATAATCATTGGGACCGGGGTGCGTTTCACCTTGGGGACATATTGTCCCCTGTCAGTGAAACCTTCGGGGACAGAAGGCGGCTCGGCGGGGGAGCGTGGTGGGGAGCGCTCCGCTCTGATGAAATGGAGCTGGCTTAATGAAGGCATGGCCCGTGGCTTCCGCAGCTCTGCCATATGCTTCGCCAAATGCAAATGGCCCCCCAATTCAAACAACTTTTTCATCTTGATCTATGCAAATGTGTTTATAAATACGGGCTTATAAATATGGCATTTCACATTTTAAAGAGTGAACTAAAAACTTGAATCACCCAACCCCACCCCATACCCAATGAAAATGGCTGACGGACGTGGGGCGGATTAACGGCGTCCCAGGGGATGATATGGACACGTGAGCGCATGTTCAAAAGAAATGACAATTCATTAATTACAGTTAGAAACAATAGCTTGATATTTTTGTGCTACACTTATTTTTTTTGCTTTCATTTTAAGAACATATTTATTAAAATCATAGATTAAAGGTTTCATATAGCCTACAATTTAATAACCTACCTCAATACAGTGTGACAACATGCCCCACTATTGTTGACAGGTTATTGTTTTTAAAGGGATAGTTCACCCAAAAAGGACAATTCTGTCATCATTTTCTCACCGTCATATTGTTCCAAACATGCATGAGTTTCTCTCTTCTCAAAAGAAGATATTTCAAAGAATGTTGGTAATCAAACAGTTGGCACCCTTTGACTTTCATTGTAGGAAAAAAGCTTTATTTTAAGGTGTCATTGTTACAGTGTAATTATATATTTAAGTACTGTGTAATATTCATTAACTACATGTACTTACTAAAGGAATTGAGTAGGATTAGGCTTTGGTTGACAAGTAAATGTATGACAAGTAAATGTAACATGTGTAACAAGAACAGTGTAAAATGAAGTGTTACCAAAAAAACAAACAAAAAGAAAAAACAGCCTAGTGAGCCTATAGAAGTCGATGGGTGCCATCAACTGTCTGGTTATCAACATTCTTCAAAATATCTTCTTTTGTGTTCAACAGAAGAAAGAAACTCAAACAGGTTTGGAACAAAAATGTTTGACGACATTTTTGATTTTTGGGTGAACCATGCTCCCTTTAATGAATTTTGTTTTCCTGGCCAACAATGGTGGAAATGTCCAATAGCCTTCTAGAGCTTAAAGTAATTGACTTCAAAAAGAAACTGGAGCAAAAGTGTGACAACTTGTAGCCTTGGTCTGACTCTGGCCTATTTAATTATCAAGTAGCCTACCAACTTTTGCGTACAACTACAGCATGATGAGCTCCAGTCCAGTGAGCGCGCAGTGCCTGTGCTTGGTCTGATGGAGTTATTGTAACCTACAGGATCACTGTGAGCTCATTAGCCCGTGTGCTCCGGCGCTAATTTGGGGGGTTACGAACTGGATGTTAATTAATCACAAGGCTGGCAGAAAGCGATGGCCTAGCGTGCGGCTGTGAGCGTGCATATCAAGCAGGCTGCCGCGCCGCGCGCCCGAACAAGTGTTGTTGTTTGTGCGGAGCGTGAGAGTGCGCGCGCTGCAAGCTGCGAAGTGTTATTTGTGTAGAGCCAGACAGTGTGAGAGAGGAAAACAAATTGCAGGCTGAGATTATTTGCAAAGATATCTCATGACATGTGGTCCTGTAATTATTTTTAAAGTTTTTGGTCACTATTCAGATTTGGTATCGGCCAATATGACGAATGAACAAATTATATCAACACGCATTTTCTTTTAATAATAGGCATCAAATCAAGCATGCTCTTAGCTATATATAGATAGTACACACTCTACTTTTTGCTCGAGTATGGATTATGATATGATGGACTACACTTTTGACTATCCTTTCTTGTCAGTTGCTTCCTTTATTTACGAGACGCAATGGCGCCATCTAGAGAATGAAATCGTACAGACGTACTGGATGTCCTCATGTTTCATAGAACCATAAATATTATTCCCTTCCTGGTACATGCATCTATACTTAAATTTTATTATCATATTATTTGTGCCATTATTTCTCTGTTTGATATAAAAAAAAGATGTAAGAACAAGAACTTTCTTAATAAATAAGGTTCAGCGCACAGTTGCAACAAACCCCTTTATTGTGAATACCCTCATGTGATTTAAGGAAGTTTTGTGTTGAAAGATTCATACTTGCAGCTTTCAAATGTATTTTTGCTCTCTATAGATCTGCAGCGGGAATTTAAAAAAAAGATAAATTAATGTCTACATTTTCTTACATAATGCATTATCAAAAATGATGAGGAATTTATTTTTCCCCCTCTAGGGTCACAAAAAAATGCTTTAAGAAGTTATAAGCTGGTCACAGTTTATGACAATGTACTATTAAATCAGCCTCCAGTGATGCAAACCAATCAAACCACATTTAAATTGGAGGGGAAAAAAAGGAAAATGTTATGGTCTTATAAATAAAACTGGCTTAATTGACAACTATTTATCCCGCTGTATTCTGGCAACCTAAATTGGGTGAGGAAATCAATTATCATGGGAAGTCACACTAAAGATGCTAACAGGTACACTGGGTGTTCATTTCAAGATTCAGCAATCAATGCTTAATGTATAACTGCACAGGTAATATCACAGTCTCATAACTAAATCCGTGGTTGTTAAAAAGAGCAAGTTGGAGAGGCTATGGGGGAGAAGAAACAAAATACAGGCTTCTTTGGAGAGCTACAATAGAGCTGCTGACGCCATGTGACAAAAGTGAAACCATTTGGAAGAAAATTGTGGTTTCATGAAACTAAAGTTGAGCTCATTGGGTTGAAAGCAATTGTATTGGCACAAACTAATTATAGCACAACACCAAGGTAACACCATCCATGTTGTTAAACGTAGTGCTGCTGCATGTGGATTTTCAGGAGGATCATTTTTGATGTTTAGTATGTATTAGTTTAGTATGTAAATGTATCATTTTAGTATGTATTTTTCCTTCCACCAGCAGTTTTCATCTACAGTATTAACCCATTCAGACCCTGTGTCCATTACAATGGACATCACATCGTCCCCTTGGAATTGTAAGGTTCTTCGTTCTGAGCAGTTTTGAGATATTGAGCTTCTAAGTTTTTGCAGTACATATAGGACAATTTATATTGGGAACAAGTTTCATTCAAACATGAAAATAACAGGGACCCTAAATGTATTCTAAACATACAATATCAAAATCCTCTCAAATTTGTAAATGGGGATTTTTGGAATGGGTCAAATGCAGATAGAACCTTCTAATTCTAAAAAAAAAACACTTTTCGCCTAGAATTATAAGGTTCTCTATCTGCCAAAACATTATTTGAACATTAAATAAAAAAATAATAATGTTGTAACAATGTCTCAACATGTGTTAGAAAGTAAAATTTTATCCTTTCTGTGACATTTATTTAATATAAATTTTTAGCACTTCCATGTATTTAGGACATTTCAAATTAAGCAAGGTAGGTCTAAATATTTTCCCCAGAGCATAATCTTCATTTTTCATACCAATTTGGTGGGTAATTTAAACACATTATTGCAGAAATTAGCTATACTTTAATCTTTCTTTTGCTTAGACAGAAAGCAGCCACTGTAATAAATCCGAGCAGGACTTTATTCCAGCTAAAGTGGGCCAGGTAAAATGGCTTTCTCTCTAGACCGAAATATGGCTGAAATAACATGCAAACGTTTATTGTTGTAATTAAGACCCCATTAATTCAATTGTTAAATATTTGACCTATAAGCCTTAATATGGTAAAAATTAAGACATTTTAAGACTTTAAAAACTGCAAGAAAATCGACACGCTAAAGCAAATTAATTCATAAAGTTTAAGAATCATTGAAAAATTATTCACTGACTATATAACTGTCAGTCTTTGTCTGCACCATTCTGTCTTCGTCATCTTCACTACACTTCCCAGCATCCTCTTGTCTCCACACCTGAACTCACTCCCTCAATCATCCACCTGTTCATCATCCTGATCATCTGTGTCACCTGTCGTCACCTTGTTAGTGTTCATTTTGTATCTGTATTTAGTTCTCTCTGTTTCAGTCTGTGCTTGTCAGTTCTTGATTACGTTAGTGTGTGTAATCTTCTGCCAGTCTTCCTTGTACCTGTTTGGCGTTTTTGAGTAAATGTTTTGTATTGGAGCTTTGCGTCAGCCTCAGCCTGTCTTCATTCCACACTACACCGTGACAGAAGAACCGACCAAACATGGATTTCCTTGCAGTAAGACTAATGTGCCTTGAGCAGGGAAACAGCTAGTCTTGTCTAGGGGAACCACCTCAAGGAAGCTTTGCCCAATTTGTGGAGGTGCTGGTATCCTGCGGATCAACCTTCACTGTCGATGACGTCACCAGCCCCACTCCAACGCCAGAGCCCGTCCAGCCCGAGCCCGTCCGCCTGAAGGGTCTTCACCGCCGTGGCCGCCTGAAGGGTCTTCACCATCCTGGCAACGCCCTCAGCCTGCTCCGCCCTGGTCACGCCCTCAGCCTGCTCCGCCATGTCCACGTCCTGCTCTGCTCTGGCCACGCCCTCAGCCTGCTCCGCCATGTCCATGTCCTGCTCTGCTCTGGCCACGCCCTCAGCCTGCTCCGCCATGGTCACGCCTCAGCCTGCTCCGCCACGCCCTCGTCCTGCCCACCTAGTCCTGCTGCCACCCTAGTCATGCCCTCAGCCTGCTTCGCCATGTCACGTCCTGCTCTGCTCTGGCCACGCCCTCAGCCTGCTCCGCCATGGCCACGCCCTCAGCCTGCTCCTCCACATCCTGCTCCGCCCTAGCCACGCCCTCAGCCTGCTCTGCCACACCCTCGTCCTGCTCCGCTCTGGTCACGCCCTCAGCCTGCTCCGCCCTGGAGGCTTCCTGCTCTAATTCAGCCATGCCCTCGTCACCCTCCAGGGTGCCCACCCTCCACACCATTGATGGTCTACGGCGCGAAGTCGCGCCTTTGCAACACAGTCTTTTGTAACGCACCTTTTTCTCACACAGTCTTCATCTGCACCATTCTGTCTTCATCTTCGCTACACTTCCCAGCATCCTCTTGTCTCCACACCTGAACTCACTCCCTTAATCATCCACCTGTTCATTGTCCTGATCATCTGAGTCACCTGTCGTCACCTTGTTAGTGTTAATTTTGTATCTGTATTTAGTTCTCTCTATTTCAGTCTGTGCTTGTCGGTTCTTGATTATGTTTCATGGATAGTGTGTGTAATCTTCTGCCAGTCTTCCTTGTACCTGTTTGGAGTTTTTGAGTAAATGTTTTGTATTGGAGCTTTGCTTCAGCCTGTCTTCATTCCACACTACAATGTGACAATCACAAAAAATGTCAGACTCCCTTTTTACTCACTCACTCACACGCTCTCTCTCTATCACACAAACGAACACATTTTCTCACACATACGCACACGTGCACACACACACACACACACATGCATGTTGAATGGTTTTCTAAAATATTCAATTTACTCAATACATATTTGTATAATTTAGATAATAATAATTATAATAATAACACAAACTAATTATAGCACAACACCAACGTAACACCACCAGGATCATTTTTGATGTTTAGTATGTAAATATATCATTTTAAAATGTATTTTTCCTTCCACCAGCAGTTTTCATCTGCAGTATTAACCCATTCAGACCCTGTGTCCATTACAATGGAACTCGCATGTCAGCCCCCTTTTTTTAACTTCTGGAGCATTTCACCTAGTTTAAAGCCTGCAGTCCATGAGATTGGACGTTTGTCATCCAATCAAATGCCAGTAAAGCTCTGCATGTAGTAATTATATGAAAGAAAACTCTACATTGAAGAGAAGCATGGCAGCACTTCACTCCAAACACAGAAGCAAGCAACATTTTCTAAGGTGTATTTATATTTTGTATGTATTTTTAGCCAGTATTTCATAGTTTGTATGTAAAATAGAAAAATTGAACTTATTAATTAAAGTTAAAAATGGACAGTAGGTTTGAAAGCCTGTTACTGAAGTCACATTTTCAGTGATGCTGATTGATGCTGACGTGAGATCTCAATATCTCAGCTCTGGAAGGGTCTAGAGCCTCCATTTTTGCACTCAGGTGTAAGTCTCATGGCCCTCTATCAGAATCCAGAGTTTTGAGAAGATTGGAGAAACTTAATTTTTCGCCCGAAAAAAAAAAACGAAAGGGGTACCACTGTCGTTTTTTTTTTCGGGTCGAATTTTGAGTTTCGATATCTCAGCTCTGGAAGGGGCTAGAGCCTCCATTTTTGCACTCAGGTGTAAGTCTCATGGCCCTCTATCAGAATCCAGAGTTTTGAGAAGATTGGAGAAACTTAATTTTTCGCCCGAAAAAAAAAAAACGTAAGGGGTACCACTGTCGTTTTTTTTTTCGGGCCGAATTTTGAGTTTCGATATCTCAGCTCTGGAAGGGTCTAGAGCCTCCATTTTTGCACTCAGGTCTAAGTCTCATGGCCTCTATCAGAATCCAGAGTTTGGGAAGATTGGAGAAACTTAATTTTTCGCCCGAAAAAAAAAACGTAAGGGTACCACTGTCGTTTTTTTTTCGGGGCGAATTTTGAGTTTCGATATCTCAGCTCTGGAAGGGGCTAGAGCCTCCATTTTTGCACTCAGGTCTAAGTCTCATGGCCCTCTATCAGAATCCAGAGTTTTGGAAGATTGGAGAAACTTAATTTTTCGCCCCAAAAAAAAAACGTAAGGGGTACCACTGTCGTTTTTTTTTTCGGGCCGAATTTTGAGTTTCGATATCTCAGCTCTGGAAGGGGCTAGAGCCTCCATTTTTGCACTCAGGTCTAAGTCTCATGGCCCTCTATCAGAATCCAGAGTTTTGGAAGATTGGAGAAACTTAATTTTTCGCCCGAAAAAAAAAACGTAAGGGTACCACTGTCGTTTTTTTTTTTTTTTTCGGGTCAAATTTTTGACTTCGATATCTCAAGCCTGGAAAGGGGTACCACTGTCGTTTTTTTTTTCGGGCCGAATTTTTGAGTTTCGATATCTCAGCTCTGGAAGGGGCTAGAGCCTCCATTTTTGCACTCAGGTCTAAGTCTCATGGCCCTCTATCAGAATTTGGGAAGATTGGAGAAACTTAATTTTTCGCCCCAAAAAAAAAACGTAAGGGGTACCACTGTCGTTTTTTTTTCGGGCCGAATTTTTGAGTTTCGATATCTCAGCTCTGGAAGGGGCTAGAGCCTCCATTTTTGCACTCAGGTCTAAGTCTCATGGCCCTCTATCAGAATTTGGGAAGATTGGAGAAACTTAATTTTTCGCCCAAAAAAAAAACGTAAGGGGTACCACTGTCGTTTTTTTTTCGGGCCGAATTTTTGAGTTTCGATATCTCAGCTCTGGAAGGGCTAGAGCCTCCATTTTTGCACTCAGGTCTAAGTCTCATGGCCCTCTATCAGAATTTGGGAAGATTGGAGAAACTTAATTTTTCGCCCAAAAAAAAAAACGTAAGGGGTACCACTGTCGTTTTTTTTTCGGGCCGAATTTTTGAGTTTCGATATCTCAGCTCTGGAAGGGGCTAGAGCCTCCATTTTTGCACTCAGGTCTAAGTCTCATGGCCCTCTATCAGAATCCAGAGTTTTGGGAAGATTGGAGAAACTTAATTTTTCGCCCAAAAAAAAAACGTAAGGGGTACCACTGTCGTTTTTTTTTTCGGGCCGAATTTTTGAGTTTCGATATCTCAGCTCTGGAAGGGGCTAGAGCCTCCATTTTTGCACTCAGGTCTAAGTCTCATGGCCCTCTATCAGAATTTGGGAAGATTGGAGAAACTTAATTTTTCGCCCAAAAAAAAAACGTAAGGGGTACCACTGTCGTTTTTTTTTCGGGCCGAATTTTTGAGTTTCGATATCTCAGCTCTGGAAGGGGCTAGAGCCTCCATTTTTGCACTCAGGTCTAAGTCTCATGGCCCTCTATCAGAATTTGGGAAGATTGGAGAAACTTAATTTTTCGCCCAAAAAAAAAAACGTAAGGGGTACCACTGTCGTTTTTTTTTTCGGGCCGAATTTTTGAGTTTCGATATCTCAGCTCTGGAAGGGGCTAGAGCCTCCATTTTTGCACTCAGGTCTAAGTCTCATGGCCCTCTATCAGAATTTGGGAAGATTGGAGAAACTTAATTTTTCGCCCAAAAAAAAAAACGTAAGGGGTACCACTGTCGTTTTTTTTTCGGGCCGAATTTTTGAGTTTCGATATCTCAGCTCTGGAAGGGGCTAGAGCCTCCATTTTTGCACTCAGGTCTAAGTCTCATGGCCCTCTATCAGAATTTGGGAAGATTGGAGAAACTTAATTTTTCGCCCAAAAAAAAAACGTAAGGGGTACCACTGTCGTTTTTTTTTCGGGCCGAATTTTTGAGTTTCGATATCTCAGCTCTGGAAGGGGCTAGAGCCTCCATTTTTGCACTCAGGTCTAAGTCTCATGGCCCTCTATCAGAATTTGGGAAGATTGGAGAAACTTAATTTTTCGCCCAAAAAAAAAAACGTAAGGGGTACCACTGTCGTTTTTTTTTTCGGGCCGAATTTTTGAGTTTCGATATCTCAGCTCTGGAAGGGGCTAGAGCCTCCATTTTTGCACTCAGGTCTAAGTCTCATGGCCCTCTATCAGAATTTGGGAAGATTGGAGAAACTTAATTTTTCGCCCAAAAAAAAAAAACGTAAGGGGTACCACTGTCGTTTTTTTTTTCGGGCCGAATTTTTGAGTTTCGATATCTCAGCTCTGGAAGGGGCTAGAGCCTCCATTTTTGCACTCAGGTCTAAGTCTCATGGCCCTCTATCAGAATTTGGGAAGATTGGAGAAACTTAATTTTTCGCCCAAAAAAAAAAACGTAAGGGGTACCACTGTCGTTTTTTTTTTCGGGCCGAATTTTTGAGTTTCGATATCTCAGCTCTGGAAGGGGCTAGAGCCTCCATTTTTGCACTCAGGTCTAAGTCTCATGGCCCTCTATCAGAATTTGGGAAGATTGGAGAAACTTAATTTTTCGCCCAAAAAAAAAAACGTAAGGGGTACCACTGTCGTTTTTTTTTCGGGCCGAATTTTTGAGTTTCGATATCTCAGCTCTGGAAGGGGCTAGAGCCTCCATTTTTGCACTCAGGTCTAAGTCTCATGGCCCTCTATCAGAATTTGGGAAGATTGGAGAAACTTAATTTTTCGCCCAAAAAAAAAAACGTAAGGGGTACCACTGTCGTTTTTTTTTCGGGCCGAATTTTTGAGTTTCGATATCTCAGCTCTGGAAGGGGCTAGAGCCTCCATTTTTGCACTCAGGTCTAAGTCTCATGGCCCTCTATCAGAATTTGGGAAGATTGGAGAAACTTAATTTTTCGCCCAAAAAAAAAAACGTAAGGGGTACCACTGTCGTTTTTTTTTTCGGGCCGAATTTTTGAGTTTCGATATCTCAGCTCTGGAAGGGGCTAGAGCCTCCATTTTTGCACTCAGGTCTAAGTCTCATGGCCCTCTATCAGAATTTGGGAAGATTGGAGAAACTTAATTTTTCGCCCAAAAAAAAAACGTAAGGGGTACCACTGTCGTTTTTTTTTCGGGCCGAATTTTTGAGTTTCGATATCTCAGCTCTGGAAGGGGCTAGAGCCTCCATTTTTGCACTCAGGTCTAAGTCTCATGGCCCTCTATCAGAATTTGGGAAGATTGGAGAAACTTAATTTTTCGCCCAAAAAAAAAACGTAAGGGGTACCACTGTCGTTTTTTTTTCGGGCCGAATTTTTGAGTTTCGATATCTCAGCTCTGGAAGGGGCTAGAGCCTCCATTTTTGCACTCAGGTCTAAGTCTCATGGCCCTCTATCAGAATTTGGGAAGATTGGAGAAACTTAATTTTTCGCCCAAAAAAAAAAACGTAAGGGGTACCACTGTCGTTTTTTTTTTCGGGCCGAATTTTTGAGTTTCGATATCTCAGCTCTGGAAGGGGCTAGAGCCTCCATTTTTGCACTCAGGTCTAAGTCTCATGGCCCTCTATCAGAATTTGGGAAGATTGGAGAAACTTAATTTTTCGCCCAAAAAAAAAACGTAAGGGGTACCACTGTCGTTTTTTTTTCGGGCCGAATTTTTGAGTTTCGATATCTCAGCTCTGGAAGGGGCTAGAGCCTCCATTTTTGCACTCAGGTCTAAGTCTCATGGCCCTCTATCAGAATTTGGGAAGATTGGAGAAACTTAATTTTTCGCCCAAAAAAAAAACGTAAGGGGTACCACTGTCGTTTTTTTTTCGGGCCGAATTTTTGAGTTTCGATATCTCAGCTCTGGAAGGGGCTAGAGCCTCCATTTTTGCACTCAGGT